TATATATAAACTGTTGTAAAATATATCAAAATTCTCATGTAAAGTAATCCAATTTTCTGTGATCAGAACAAACTATGAATAATGTTTCCCATGTGAAGTATGTCTGAGATCTACAGCATAGTTGCCTTTATCTAATTTTTGTTGTTTTTCTCTCTGTTTTTACAAAGTTGCACAATGTATGGCTACTGAATATCATAGCACACTATTTCCAAATTGTAGTGCACTTTTTGATGTTCTGGGAGATTTTCTTCATGAGATTTTCAAGGCTGTGGCAGGCAAATCAAATACAGAAGTGGAAAAATTAACAGGCTAATAAAAATATTGGTGCATCAAAAAAACATTTGCAACCTTAAATAAAGATTAGATATTTAGGTCTCAACAATAACTGTCAGAATGTGTTTGTTATGAAATACGTCAGTGATTCTTTTTGAGTTTTCATGTTCTGATATCAAAGATAATTTGAGTGCATGCATTTTACAGTTTTAGTAACTTGAAGTGAAAGGACAAAGGTAAGATAAATTTAACTGACGACCTGATACATTTGTTGCAACTGAATCTTTACACAAAGAGCAGAAAATGTTTTTTTTTTCTCTGTTGACTATTAATAACATAAAATATAAAACCAACAACATATTCTTAAACACATGTTAGCCTCAAATATTCACTGTATTTCAGTTTTCTTTAGGTATCCCAATTGACAATATAATAACGAGGGAGGAGTTTTCATCATTTAAGCTGAAATCAAGATGTTTTGTGTTTGTCAGAGTCATACAGCAGCAGTCTAAAGAGCCTCAGTTCCAGTCAACTTACAAATGATTATAACTTTTAGGACAGAAGATGGCTGTGAGAATTATCTACTAACCCTTCATTAGCAGGTTCTGAGTGCAGGATTTTGAACTTCTGGACACTTCCATTTATCTTCGAGGTGGATTTAGAGGCTGAACAGAAGAAAAATGCACAAGATGTGATCAGATCTTACCATGACAGGCTCCTGAAAGGAGACACGTTTGACAAATGAATCAATGTATTTCACATAAAGATATTTATATATTTATGGTTCTTGCACTTTCTGGACCAACAAATGGTTGCATCAGATTTTCAACATTTCATAACATTTTTTATAATTTTTGCTGCATCATTAAAGACCATGGTATCCTACAGTTGAGGTCAAGACCCCACTTGTGGTCATGAAACAATAATTGTGGGGTCTTGCAAAAGGCCCACAGCATGTTTACCTTAATTCTTACAAAACAAAAAGTATCTTACATAAATATATAAAACCTTTTATAAAGGATGACAAAGCTTTGTGTTAAATGGTTTGTTAACAATTTTTATATGCTTTAGCAATGCAGTTTGGGTCAAAAAAAGAGGTTGGGAAGTTTGGGAACAACTGCTCTAATCCCCTTTCAGACTGTATGACAACCCCATGTCATAAAAAAATCTCTCAGAATGTGGATGGCCTTTGGAGGGTGCTGATGAGATCTTCAAGTGTTTATTAAGAATTCAGTGGGCACCCCATTATGGAAGACAATGGTTTTGAGGATGCACAAAACTTCCATATGACGTTGTGGTGTTTTATCTGTTAAATGGCAGCAAATTCAGTGAGAAAGACTTGTATCGATTGGTAAGACAGAAGGATCAGGTTGGAACGGATGTGCAGCAGGTAAGGCTTGTTAAACAAAGCAATGGTAATGTTTTAACAAGTGAGGAGAATGTGACAAGAAGATGGACAGAACATTTTGAGGAAAGAATGAATGAAGAGAATGAATGAGAAAAAGAGAGCCTCTACTCTGAGGTCAAAGAAACTGTGGACCACAAAGTGGGAAGGATTAGTGAGGATGAAGTCTGGTAAGCTCTGAAAAGAATGAAGAAGGGGAAGGCAGTAGGGCCTGGTGACATACCAGTAGAGGTTTGGAAATGTTTTGGAGAGATGGCAGTGAGGTTTTTGACTCAAATATTATATGGCATAATTCAGGGTGAGAAAATGCCTCAGAAATGGAGGAGAACTGTGCTCGTGTCCATTTTTAAGAACAAGGGTGATGTACAGAGTTGTAGTAACTACAGGGGAATTCAGCTGATGAGCCACATGATGAAGATCTGGGAAAGACTTGTGGAAGCAAGACTTACAAATGAGAGGTGACAATTTGTGAGCAGCAGTATGGTTTCATGCCAAGAAAGAGCACCACAGATGCCATCTTTGCTTTGAAGATGCTGATGGAGAAGTACAGAGAGGGTCAGAAAGAACTCCATTGTGTCTTTGTAGATTTAGAAAAAGCATATACAAAATACCATCTCCTTTTTATGAACTTGTTCATGCTGTCTTATTTAACTCCAGTGCCGAGGGAGGAGGTGTGGTATTGCATGAGGAAATCTGGAGTTGCAGATAAGTATGTTAGACTGGTACAGGATGTGTATGAGGACAGCAGGACAGTGGTGAGATGTGCTGTAGGAGTGACAGATAGCTTCAAGGTGGAGGTGGGAGTGCATCAAGGATCTGCTCTCAGCCCCTTCTTGTTTGCTCTGGTGATGGACTACTAACAGATGAGGTCAGGCAGGAATCCCCGTGGACTATGATTTTTTTTTTATTTTGGTTTTATTGTCATTTCATCTAGGTACAAGTACATATTGAAATGAAACAGTGTTCCCCAAGATCACATTGCAACATAGAACATAACATGTAAAACAAAACAACATAGGGCAGATATGCAACAGAATAATAAATACAAACAGACCTATAATAAATGCAAAAATACATCTAACCTAATCTAAACATCTAAACAAACGATTAAGAGATAAGACTAGAGATACATGTCTGTGATGTGTGGTGAGAACAGGGAATGGGTGGAAGAGAACTTGGAGAGGTGGAAGTATGCATTTGAAAGAAGAGGAATGAAAGTCAGCTGCAGTAAGACAGAGTACATGTGTGTGAATGAGAGGGAGGCTGGTGGAACAGTGAGGCTACAAGGAGCAGAGGTCACAAAGGTGCAGGACTTCAAGTATTTGGGGTCCACTGTCCAGGAAATAAAGAGAGTCCAGGCAGGATGGAGTGGATGGAGAATAGTTTCAGGAGTGATTTGCAGCAAAAAGATGTCAGCAAAGGTCAAAGGAAACGTTTACAAGACCGTGGTGAGACCAGCTATGTTGTATGGTCTGGAGACTATGGCAGTGACAAAAAAATAAATAAAAAAATAAAAAATATAACAGGAGAAAGAACTGGAAGTGGCAGAAACAAAGATGTTGAGGTTCTCCTTGGGAGTGACAAGGATGGATAAGATTAGGAATGAGATCATCAGAGGTACAGACAGGTTGAACAACGAGGAAATAAAGTTAGAGGCCAGACTGAGATGGTTTGGACATGTCCAGAGGAGAGACAGTGAAGGATGTTAGAAATGCAGCTGCCAGGAAAAAGACAAAGAGGAGATATATGGATGCAGTTAGAGAGGACATGGAGGTGGTTGGATTAAGGTCAGAGGATGCAGAGGACAGAGTGAAATGGGGGAGGATGACTCACTGTGGCGACCCCTGAAGAGGGAAATGTTGAAAGAAGAAGAAGAAGAAATTCAGGATGGATGTGCCTGAGTGCATCAATCTAGCTTGGATGTAAGAATCTGAAGTAAGACTGGCCATGCTGGCCTCATGCCCATCCTATGACCATGATTGTGACCAGGCAATGAAAGAAACCTAGCAAAGACATAATACCCATTGTCATAGCAACCAGCTAGCATGACAATATTTAAGTGTGTAGCTCTAACCTGACACAGTAAAAGAGGACTGTGCCAATGTGGACAAATAAAACATAATGAGGGTGCAAGACAGCATCACATGAAACAAGAAGTCTTCAGCTCTGGTTTACACAATTTTAAAAACCATCTCATTTTGCTATATCACTATGTTCACTATATCTAATTCAGCTTTGTGCATCTTGAAAGCCTTGAAAGTAGTTTTCAATAAAATAAATGGCTTGTTTTTACAACCATCATTTGGGTTTTTACTTATCAAATATATATATTTAATTATCACAGAGATGCAAACCTCAACAAAATCAAAATACTGAGAAATGAATGAATTTTACAATTTGTGTTTTGAATCTTCTCACCATCATCATCTCCATGATGTTTATAATGAGACATAAGGATGTCAATGAGTTCCATCATCTCATGCTGCATGGAGTTGACTTTAGGATCAGGGTGTTGTAGGACTTTACTTTTATCTCTCGAACCTCCACACACACCCTCCCACTGCTCATTCAAGAGTCTCTTGATCTTCTTAATGTGGTGAATGATCTCCTCTGTGTGTGCCCCCGCTGCAGATACCAAACTTTCAGTAGATGTTACTGAGTCTTGATGTTTTTGAACATTTGAGGTTTCCGTTCTTGTACAGTTGAAGAACAATGCTTTATTACAAGATGGTTCAGTCGATCTCACCACTGTCTCATCCTCGTCCTGGTCAACCACAACTCTCTCTGCACGCACCCACACTGCTGGATTCTTAATCAGATGCTCTATCTTCTTAGCTTTTGTCTTGCTCTCATCCTGTTGCTCCCGCAGCAGCCCCTCCAATCTCTGGTGTTCCAGCTCAGTATCAGTGAGCTTTTGTTCCAGCACAGCCACTTTGGCCTGCAGGGATGTCACTGTCAGTAGCTCATCCAGATCTGTACTTTTCTTCCACTCATGTTTGGGATTTAAAACATCCTCAGTGACATTGTGCCACCTTTTGATGTCCACTTTGTCATAGGAAGCACAAAGGGATGGCTCTGTGGTTCCATTCATCTTGGAAACAGAAACCTGTGGACCCAGGCCCAGGCTTAGCCTCTCTCTTTCCTCCTGGAGGATGCAGATCTGAGCCCTGAGCTCAGGGATAACCCTCACTTCCATCTCGAGCTCCGCCACACGTTCAAGGGCTTCAGTCAGGCGCCTCAGCAGTCCTGAGCAATCTTGGAGATGAGGGCTGTCTGAAGACTGGAAGACATCTTCACATGAGGTGTCGGCTCCTCCCAAGTGATTCCTTGAGCTCCAGAGGCTGCACTGGTCATCTGTGGACTCTGAATCCTGTCTTGGTATCACTGCATGTGGTAAACTAGAGGCCTGCAGATGAGGCCTGATGTGTTCTCTTAGAGGGTGCTCATCAAAATCTTTGATTTTGACCTCCATTTCAGACTGAGATCTTAGGCTCATGGGAGACAAAGGTGTCCTTCTATTATAAGCATAAGAAGCGTCGCCATGATGATGGGTATCTAAAAGAGGGGCAAGAGCCCCCACAGATCCCCAGAAGCTTGGACGGCAGCCTCCCTCTGAAGAGTTCATCTGCCTGGGCAGAGTGCTGGCACGAGGTCCTTTACTTCGGCGCTGAATTGGAACTCTTTTGATGGTGTTGCCTTTCTCAATGTCGTCCACATATTTTAAGAAGTCTAGGTCAATTTGGAAGCCATAAGGGGTTTCCACCGCATAAGGGAGCTTTGCTTTAATTCCATTCTCTGTCATTTTATGTTGTAAACTCTTTCCTGTAAACAAACAAATAAAAAATTAGTTTGTATTACAAGTAGTTGTCTTTTTTTCAAAAGCTTTACCACATAAGGGCCTTTGTCCAGCTGTCATTTGTTTTCTCGTTTCTCTAATGTTTGTGTTATAATACATAGCTAATGGTCTTATAGCTAAGATTGCAAAGAAGGGGCTAAAGTTAGCCACAAAAAAACAATTTCTGCTTAAGTTGTCATACGTTTGGGTCATACTCCTTTTTCCATACTGTTTTCTTACACTCTCACTGCTTTTGTCTTTCATGCAGTTGTTGTTCAGCAGTGGCAGACCCTGATCTTTGCTTGATTACAGTCCTGCAATCCAGAATGAGGGCTGAAAATAGTTTGGGACCATTTTGGGCTGCAATTATGGCCAGCAGTAAAAAAAAACCTTTACTCCGGCATACACAAATGCACTGATTGTTCTTACTCACTGTTTGCCTCCATAGACACTTTTCATCCTCTTGTTTTCCTCTTTAGTGATTGTCTGTACCTTCATTTTTCTGTTTAATTTGTCAAACATCAGACCACACAATACATATGCATATTAATGTGTATGAATGCTTTTCTGCAGTGCCCTGAAACAACTTCTGTTGTGACTTGGCGCTATATACAGTATACAGTATATATATAAACTGAATTGAACTGAATACAAAATACCATCTCCTTTTTATGAACTTGTTCATGCTGTCTTATTTAACTCCAGGAAATTCCCCCAGTACAACCATTGCTCTACCTTGCTTTCTGTTCATACCTAACCTTTCCTCCTACTTCCTGTTAACCAGACCTCGACCCTCATCTTCCTCTCCTCTGTGGGAGCTTCCTGTCAAATTGAGGCACCGCAGTCACCAAACCACAGCCCCAAACAATGTGAGCTATGCAGTAAACAGACCAACACCCCCAAATTGTCCTCCAAGGAAATAGAGCTTCTGTCACCCACACACCCTCTGATGGACAAAGCTGTAAACAACAAATCTGCAAGTAAAAGATAGGGGAGTGCTCATTTTGCAAGCTTAGACACAGACGTCCAGAGGTAATGATCTATTTGAAGAAAATTTGCATTTTGAGTTTGGGATGTTTCATAAAATCCTAGTTAACATGAAAGATTTTAGTCATCTGATTCACTAAAATAAACTTTAAATGTCAGCATCCTTTTGTCTTTTTACTTCTGCTCATTTCTTAGATCCATTATTGTATGTTGATGTGCTTTGATGACATTCAGGTTTTACACTTTGATGAGATTTAGATTTAGCCTGTGAGTGCAGAGCTAAAAATCGTTTGAATCAGACTCTTCAGGTAAATTTGTCTTCATTCTAACCATCTGAAAACCATTCAGATTACAAACTAGAAGAACTGAAGGTGCTGAGTATAAACCAGGGCAGCACGGTGGCACAACTGGTAGAGCTGCTGTCTCTCAGCGAACAGGTTATCCTGGTTCAAATCCTGGTCTGGGGGCCTTTCCTCACCTCCTTCTACAGGTGTGCAGTGGAGAGCATCCTGTGCTCCAGCATCAATGTGTGGCATGGAGGCTGCACAGCTGCAGAAAGAAAAGCTTTGCAGAGAGTGGTGAAGGCTGCACAGAAGTCTGTTGGAGTCAATCTCCCCACCATCACAGACATTTACACCTCCAGATGCAGGAAGAGAGCCACCTGCATCATGAAGGACCCCAAATCACCCAGCACACACAATTTTTGCCCCACTCCCCTCAGGCAGGAGGTTGAGGAGCAAGACTGAGGAACAGCTTCTACCCTGAGGCTGTTAGACTCATGAATCTCTAACCAGGAAAAATCACTGTGAAAAAAAATCACTGAAAAATCACTGTAATCCCACTTGATTGTTGATATGTGCTGCTGACTATCCATGATGTTGATCTCATGCTGCTGATTTATTTTTTGTTGCTGTGTTCATTCATCCTCATCTGCTCACACTGACTCATGTCCATGCTGCTGTTGTTTGGCACATTGTTTTGTACTATTAGTGCTTATTGTATTCTTAGTTTAACGTATTTCTTATTTCATATCTTAAATCTTATTACTGTTTTTCTGAAAACAGCTCCAAACAGCAAATTGTCTACAATTTGTATTTTTGTTGGATGGAACTGGGACCCTGTGTACACAGTTTAATTCCACCACATGTGGTGTGAATGACAATAAAGACACCTTGACTATGACCTTTCTAGATGGAGTTTGCGTGTTCTCTCCGTGCATGTGTGGGTTTTCTCCAGGTACTCCAGTTTCCTCCCACAGACCAAAAACATGCATGTTAGTCTGATTGGTAACGCTAAATTGTCCCTAGTTGTGAGTGAAAAAGCGAATGGTCATGTCTCTATGGGTCCTTGCGATGAACTGGAGACCTGTCCAGGGTGTCCCCGGCCTCTCGCACAGCGATGGCTGGACTTGGGCACCAGTGATCCCCGCAACTCAAAAAGGAAGAAGCGGGTTAAAAGATGATGGATGGATGGATGGATGGATGGATGGATGGATGGATGGATGGATGGATGGATGGATGGAGTGTATACCAAGTTAGGCACCCATTTCAACTTGTCAATGTCAGCACTTTAATACCTCAGAAAATGAAATGTTTTTCAGTTTCTCCCTGCAGTTCAGACTGCAGACTGTTCACCTCCAGCAAAATGAAAACAATCAGATCCGTAGTCACAAAAGGGTTTTAGAAACATGTATGTTCTTTTTCTGTCTCTTAACTAAATGTTACTGTGAACAGCCTTCTTCACACTGGATGTCGACCCAGCAATGACGTTTAAAAAATTAGCCAGGTGTCTTTGCAGGGTCTCTTCAAGGGTGTTAAAAACACTCTGAGCTTCATGTGATTGAATGATTCTGAGCATGCACAAAACTTCTGTTGGATGGGATTGGGTTGGATGGAGAGTTTTGTCTTTCATCCGAAAGACTTCATCAGTCTGAGGTTCGCAGGCCACAGACTGATGAAGTCTTTCGGATGAAAGACAAAATGTTTCTACCAAGAAAGATCTGTCCAGATGACCTGTTTTAACTCTTTCTTTGTGATTTATTGTCCTGAATAATTGAGCTTAGATCTGGTCTACTCTCTGTTACTTTCTGTCCAGGTTACCACAGAAGAAACATCCCAACATTAGGTTTATGTAATTTACCAGAGTAATTGCCTAACTTTCTCCACAGTCCCGTAGTGCACATTTTATCGTCTGTGTTTGGAGTAGAAGGCCCACTTCACAGAAAACCCCAAATAATTAAAGCTAAAATATTTGCCTTACCCCAAAAAGGCCCCAGCAGAACAGCTCTGAGTGTCTGTACTGCTGCTTTGGCAGACTGAGCTAAACTCTAAAGAAGGGATAGAAGTGGATGTACTAGGGTCCTTAGTTTGCAAATTCATGTTGTATTTTAAAACAGGTTTAAAGCTCCTTAAGTAAACTATTCAAAGCAAATGTCAGCATTGTTTTAACAGTGGCCCTTTCTGTCATCTTTTAGGAGTCAGATCTGACATCAACATAAACCCACAATCACTACAAGTTTATCCACAACATTCTAGACACATGGGAGCGAGCTCCAAATGTAGTCATGGTAAAGACTTTAAAATGATACACTTGGAGGAAAAATAAAGGGCTGATTGAGTTACTGAGGCTTCAGGCAAAGGTTGTATGTCTCACTCCTGCTCTTTAACCATCTAAGGTGCACGTCGACTGGTTCATCAAACAATACTGTAATAATTGGTCTGCAACTAATTGGCCTTACTTTACAGACATGACTGAAAGGTAAGACTACTTAGGAAACAACCTAAACACCTACCTTTCTCTAAAGGTACTTTGTCACTGAGCTGTGATGATCAGAATCACAGAAAAATGTGCAACTTTTGACTCGGACTCACACTATACAGTACATTTGCATCAATTCTTAGTGAAATTTGGGGCCAACAAAAAAAATAACAGCTCTAACACTGTAGAATTGCAAAAAAAACTGCATTGAGGAGGCTTTGGGATGTCTGCTGGAAATTTTTAAATGGGGAAAAACTGTCTCAAATACTTTAAACATGTCCAAGATTTCTGGCACAGGAAAACAATGCCCTGAGGCTCACACCGGGAATTTGAGAACCTTCACAAATGTTTTGTGTGATGATCCATAACCTTTGTATGTGGTTTGTGGTATTTTGTTTTCCACTCTCTCTCTCTCTGCAGGGGGCCGTCCAACGTAAGGTCTTAAGAGTTACACGTGCAATCACTTGGCCTGACGAGTATAAAGAGTAGGGTAGTTAGTGCATTATTTATTTATCTATTTATTTGCTGCACTGGGAGGTGATTGCTCACTGACTGACTGACTGACTGACTGACTGACTGACTGACTGACTGACTGACTGACTGACTGACTGACTGACTAACTCACTCACTCACTCACTCACTCACTCACTCACTCATTGGTTGGTTGGAAGGTCGGTCGGTGATCTTAACCTTATTTGTTCTTTCATCTCTTTCTATCCCTGAGTTACAAACAGCTGTACAGTACTGATTTATTTATTTATTTATTTGTTTGTTTTGCAGAACTTGGATCTGGTTGTGGGGATGGATGACTGAACTGACGACAGCAAAATAAAAATCATCTTAAGCTGTTTATCAGTGTGGTTTCCTTATTTATGTCATGGGCAGGAGTTCATGACATGCAACTGTGAAAACTCCCTCACAAATGTAGTTTACAGTGTTTCCCACACGGTTGTAGCCATGTAAGATGCAGGCTCAATGAGTGACAGAGCAACCTGCCTGAATGAAGGAAGTGATCCAACTGTTCAAACAGCACAGAGAAAAACATCCTTATCTATGATTTCTCACCTCGTTAAATATGTACCAAATTATTTTATGGTTTCAGTTGCAAAGTTTATTTTTTCAATGTACAATAGTGTTTAAAAATAGTTTATCAAGCACAGAATAAAACATGGTTTGAAAAGTTTTAAGCAAAATTCATCTCATTTCTCACACCCAGTTTTAGGAACCCAAGATTAGAAGGGCA